GGAGCGCCACCACGCTTCCCAAGCGGCGCACTATAGCAGTGCGCCACCGGGCCGGCCCTCTTTTTTTCTTGATTATTTTGTAGTGATTGTAAATCTTGGAAGTGGAAACTAATCTCATTTAAATTTTTACCAAACAATGGTTTGTTGCTTTTATTTTACTGTTTTTGAATGATTTAGGAATAAAGATTGCTATTTCTTTAAACAAAAATACCATGGACAATTTAAAATCGTGAACACAAAAATAAAATAGCTTTTGTTCTGTAGTGTCTTTTTACTTATATTTTTATATTAGTATGTCTTATCTGGGAATTCACTTTATTTTTAAAAATTTTTTATTGAAACATATTGGTTGTACATATTTATGGGGTTCAGAGTTGTATTTCCATACATGTATACAATGCGTGTTGATCTATTGGGAATTCACTTTAAATAAAATGACAAAGCTACTCCATGAAGAACTAGTTTAGTAAAAACTTGGAAGCTCTCCAAATTCTGACAGCCTGGGCAATACAAAGGAATAGACAGCCATGTTTCAGAATGGTGTATTATGCTATCCCAAGCCTTGCTAACTTTTCTTAAAGGACTTTCTCCCTGGGTGTGGAGGAAAGTCAAGGTATTTGGTTCCATAGTGCTTATTTTGCAGGCTGTATGCTGAATATAAATTAAAAGTAAATAGAAAAAGGAAGAAGAATAGTAGGTATTAACTGTGAATAAACTTAAAATCTAGAATTATTTCTAATTCAGTCTGTTCAGTTAGTAGCAATCAAGAGTATACAAAAATGGCAGGGAGCAAACACAAACACCCATAATTCCGTATTAAATGCAAATAAATGGAATTCTTACTAACCTAAGTTTTTACTGGTATCTTACTTTCTGTAAGACCAAACTTTAAATTAACTCACATTTTCCTAAACTCATTCAGCAAATAATAATTAAGCAACAGCAATGTGAATAATACTGTATTTTTGATGCTTTGGTGATGAAAAGTGTAAGAAAGATGCCTTACCTTTATCATCTTGTTAGGGAAATGTTATACACATGAAAATTTAGCTGGCAATATAAGGCAATTTATGATTAAATACCAGATGATACTTAAGCATAAAGGGTGCAGAGATAGACATTAAATAAGGTGCTGGAATTAAGGGATCTTGCTTGAGACTGATTAGTAGAAAGGCCAGATAAAAGCTAGATGCTTTATTTGGAGCTAGGTGATAAAGAACCTTGAATAACCTAGTGGAAAAGCTTGGAGACTGTATTCCAAAGGTAATAGAAAAGCAACAGTGGTTTCTGAGAAGAGGAAGGGTTTCAGGGAATGTAGTAGTTTAGGGAGACTGGTGTATATATATCACATTGTGGGAAGGATTGGAGGAGGAGAAACTGTAGTCAGTATTTTAATATCCTGTTAGATATTAAGGATCTGGCCTTAGATGATAACAGTAAAAATAAACAAGATGGGATAGAGTGAAAAGTTATTCACAAATGAAGAATTGACAGATCTTAGAAAATGATACGTATATGGGAGATACGAAAAAAATCAAAGATGACTTGAGGTTTCTATTAATCTCAATTCCTTAGATGCTTTCATCCTAATAATTGATCTGATTGTATTTTTACTTACCAAGTAGCATTTGTGCTTTCAGTTTTTTAAATGGGTTAATACTGTAGTTCTACTTTCTCTGGAAAAAATACTTCTACCTTGTCTTTGAACTCTTAGAAGTAATTTAGACTATTAAAAATTGTAGAGACAGTAGCTGGATTTTTCCAGTGACCACTGAAAGAGCTTCGGGATAAGAAACAGGCACAAAGCATGAAATGGAGTCAGGTAATTCCTACTTTCTGTCAGCAGCGCCTCACTTGTTTGTAACATTGTTGTCAATGTTTTTAAATATTTCTCCCATTGGAAAAACTGCTATTACTTGGTTGGACCCATTTTGCTGCTGATAAACTAGATTGCCTTTAAAAAATTGTTTTATATGTCATCTTCACAAATCTGATTGCATCCAGGCAAGCTGATGAAGAATTCCAGATCCTGGCAAACTCCTGGCGATACTCCAGTGCATTCACCAACAGAATATTTTTTGCCATGGTGGATTTTGATGAAGGCTCTGATGTATTTCAGATGGTAAGATCTTTGGTTTATTTTACTATGTAGGAATAGGTAAAATGTAAATAAAGTGGAATACATTTTTTTCAGTGGCCACAAAAAGTTAAATAGGACTGCTCTTGTGTAAGAACTAGAGTAGTTAGTGAACTAAAAGCTAAACTTGAGCTAACCATAAAGTGTAGTGATTAATGCTAACCTATTAGAATGTGGAAATTGTGTAGTAATCAAGTAACTTTTATATATATTTTTTTATTGTGGTAAAATATATAAAATATAAAATTTACCATTTTAACCATTTTTAAGTGTACAATTTGTCAAGTAAGTTTTTAAATTATAGCATGAATCCCACCATTATGTAATACTGAAGTCCTTAGTAGAGACAGGTACCTGTTTGCACTCTTGCCTTAGTAGAAAAGATTCTTTTTCTCATTCAAAACTGAGCCCTTTTCCTGTGCCCGGGCTCTTATACCCACCTGTTCTGTCAATCACGACCTATCACATCTGTATTTCAACCACTCTACTAGTTTTTCCCCTTGCATAGAAACACTTAAAGATATAGATTCAATTTTGTCTTTGTTTATAAATGTCTAACTCATACATTTGTACATGTTTTACTCTAGTAATTGTTTAAAACATAAAAGGAAAGATCGGGATATAACTCCTTGCTATGTATCTTCACATGAATGACTTCCCAATCCAAAAATTGATTATGTTCCAAGTTAAACTCCCATCTCTCTCACTTCCACCAAAACCTGGTCTTCCTGTGTTCTATATCATTAGTGACACTTCTTTGTCATCTTCATCATCTTGTACAATATGTGTTATAGCCACCCCCCTTTACATTCCAAGGTCCTCATCATCTCTCATTTGAACTAATGCAATAGACTTTTAACTGGTCCACTTACTTTCCATATAGGTACTCTCTCCATATTGCCTGCTGTAACATTTCCCAGAGTTTTTCCTACAGGGTATCAATAAGAATACTTGGAAAAAATAAATTTGGGAAACCATAGTTTAATCAAAATTAAACTTTTTTTTTTTTACCTCAGGGTTCAGGAACTATGAAGGGTCTGAATTTTTACTCTAATTGTAAGCTAACAAGTTAACCTGCCACAGTTTCATGAATGCTGGAAGGTGTGACACTCCTGGGTCAGAATTAAAGTACTTTAATACTCACAACAACAGCAAGTAGCCCAAAGTATCAGCATTTTCTTGCACAGGTTCCTCAAGGGCAATGCACTTCCCATAGGGCAATGCAAAGAGAGCCGATGGTTTGTTTGTATTATGGGAGAGGAACACCAAGCTCTGGGAATCCAAATCTTCCATAACAGGTGTAAGCATGCCTGCCCTTTGCTTTGAAGGAGACTATCTCTGTCTTCCAAGGCTATAAAATATCCTTGGTAAGATCATCCAGAACAAAGGCATTCAGTGCCTCTACCGTAAGACGTGCAGAAACATGAGAAGCCCATGAAGAATTCTCTCCCAACACATAACTTCTCAGAGACTTTAATATGCTGATATGTATTATACTTTCCTTTCAAATAGGGGGCTCTAATACACAGAATTTCCCAAATTATTGGACCACTTAATGGAGCATTTTGGCTAGATACCATGAAACATACTTTTGAAGAGTGGTGTATAAACTAAAGCCAGAATTCCTTAGTCCTCCTAAATTCATGCACTCTACTCTGGGCATATAAGACCACCTTTCCCACAATCATATTATGCCATGCACTATCTTATTTCATCACTGTTGATTGATTGTGTATGACAACATGAAGTATCCTTTCTTTCCTGATTCCATTCTCTCTCAAAATCCTGCTTACCCCTTTAGTCCTCATTTCAGATAATTCCCTTTAAACCTTTTCAAATCCTCCAGATAAAAAGTGAGTCACCCCTTTTCTTGTATTTTAACACTACTTACCTTATATTTCTATTATACACTATTCACATCCTATCTTATGGTAGAATTAGCCTTATAGTTGCTTGACAGTCTTTCTTGGAATATAGTTATTTACTTAATGGCAGAGCCAATATCCTGTAGCTATCAGTGCTAAGCACATAATAGATGTTCAGTAAATGTTGGAAAAAATGGCTTAATGTTCCTATTTTACAGAATACCATTGTACTATTTGTAGTTCAGTCTCACGCAACCATCTCCATAAATCAAAATCAGTGCATCTATAAAAATGCTGTAACCTAAAAGGTTGGTCCATTTAGCCTTTATTAGGCCAAATAAAACAATTTCTAGAGGTTTTTTTTTTTTTTTTTTTCCTTTTTGTCTTTTTTCGTGACCGGCAACGGATCGCAACCCTCAGTGTCGCGCCCAGACTGGACCGGGACCGGCAATGGGATCGCAACCCATGGTGTTGCTCCCGCACCTCGCTCAGCCAGTGAGCGGCCGGTCTGTATGTGGGATCCGAACCCTCGGCGGGAGCGCCGCCGCACTTCCCAAGCGGTGCACTATAGCAGTGCGCCACCGGGCCGGCCCCAACAATTTCTAGAGTTTAAGAAATTGCTTTCTCATTCTCTTTCTTTTTTTTTGGCTACTGGCCAGTACAGGGATCGAACCCTGGATCTTGGTGTTATTGGCACCGTGCTGTAACCAACTGAGCTAACCAGACAGCCCCTGCTTTCTTATTCTCTGCTATTCAAACTAGGATTGTTTTGGAAATTAAAAATTTTAATTCCATTTGTTTTAACTATTCATATAGAAATCACTAACAGAAGATATATATATATCCAAAACTAATTTTCTCCTACCACAAATAGTTTTTAATATCAATGCCTATTACTCCATTTTAGGGCTACATTTTAGAATTAGAGGTATAAGAATGGTAGCGTGTCCATCTGTGGAAGAAATTCAAATCTTTCCTCAAGTAACTGTCATATTCCATAGTACACAAAAGCTAAGCATGGATGAAAAGTGATCTACCAAAAATAGTGTATCTTATTTTGGCTCATTAACCTCCAAGGATTTTCAAAGCAAGGTTGTTTTTTTTTTTTAAATAGTGGTAAAATATACATAACAAAATTTACCTTCTTAACCGTTTTTAAATGTACAGGTCAGTGGTGTTAGGTACATTCACATCATTGTACAACCAGTCTCCAGAACTGTTTTCCTCTTGCAAAACTAAAACTATACTATACCCGTTAAACAACTTCCATTTTCCCCTCCCTCAGCCTTAGGCAACCGCCATTTGTCTTTTTGTGACTGGCTTATTTCACTTAGCATAATATCCTCAAAGTTCATCCATGTTGTAGCATGTGTAAGAACTTCCTTCCTTTTTTTTGTCTTTTTCGTGACCGGTAAGGGGATCGCAACCCTTGGTGTGGTGTCTTCCGCACCGCGCTCAGTCAGTGAGCGCACTGGCCATCCCGAGTGCGCCATGGGGTCGGCCCGAACTTCCTTCCTTCCTTTTTAAGGCTAAATAATGCTGTATGAGGGTTCTTTACAAAGTTCATAGAAAAATAGAATTGAAAGATAATATGAATCTTTCCTTGAACTTTTTGAAATATCCTTGTACTATATGTATATAACATATTTTGTTTACCTGTCATCTGTCTGTGGCCACTTGGGTTGCTTCTACCTTTTGGCTATTGTGAATAATGCTGCTGTGAAAATGGATCAGCTTCATTTTTTTTTAAAGATGACCGGTAAGGGGATCTGAACCCTTGACTTGGTGTTGTCAGCACCACGCTCAGCCAGTGAGCAAACCGGCCATCCCTATATAGGATCCGAACCCGTGGCCTTGGTGTTATCAGCACCGCACTCTACCGAGTGAGCCACAGGCTGGCCCATGGCTAGCTTCATTTTAATCTTAAAAAGTTTCTGCCCTTTGACTAACAATTCCACTTCTAGAGAAACACCTTCATGAGTGTAAAAGGAGATATGTGCAAGGATGCTTACTGCAACATTGTTTGTAATTGGAAAAAAGGAAAAAAAACTCTAAAAATCTAAAAATAGCATAATTACTTAATAACTACGAGAGTGAGGTAATATATATTACAAGGGACTTCAAAAAGTTCATGGAAAGATTTACATTATATTTTAATTCTATTTTCCCACAAACTTTTTGAAGTACCCTTATATATATAAGTGTATAATATATACATTATCATGGGTAAATGTCTGAAACATGGTTGAGTATAAAGAAGCAAATTACAGGATGGTACATTTAATATAATGCCATTTATGTTAAAATAAAAGACAGAAAGCAATATTATGTTTTCTGTTGGTACATACACACATATGTGAATAAATTCGGAAAGATCTGGAAATGGTAACTGGCTGCTAGAATGCACTGGGATTGGTCCTTGTAACACTGTAGTGTTTTTTTAAAAATGTTTACAAGGGAAATGTATTCATATGTTACTTAGTTTTTGTTTTGTTTTTTAGACACGTTTTCAAAAATCCAAAGTTAGTGTAGCTAAACAGATATTGAAGAAAGAGTTTGGCCTAAAACTGGGCAGTGTTTGGATCTAGTTTTTAGCTTTGCAGACTCAGAAATTGAACTTAAACAGTGTGGCCAGAATTTTTCTACCTGTGACAATTTTGTGTACATCAACCAAACCATAAAAATTCATTGACATTAGTAACCAAAGGACTAATTTATTAATTCATTAACTCACCATTTTATACAGCCAAAGAAACCAAAACAATCATTTAAAGTAGTCAGTATACCCTCTCGCCTTATGGGAAATCCTAAAAAGTTACTGTTAGAAGGGTTTATGGTGAGTATAGAATCAAAACAAGGATGTTGGATCGTTTTATTGGCTGATGTTTTTAAGTCATGCATCGCTTAATGACAGGGATATGTTCTGAGAAATGCATCATTGGGCAATTTCGTCTTTGTGTGAACATCATAGAGTGTACTTACAGAAACCTAGATGGTACAGCCTACTACACACCTAGGCTATATGGTATAGCCTATGGCTCCTAGGCTACAGACTTGTACAGCATGTTACTGTACTGAATACTGTAGGCAATTATAACATGATGGTAAGTATTAGTATATCTAAACATAGAACAGGTACAGTAAAAATACAGTATAAAAGATAAAAAGTGACATACCTGTATAAGACACTTACCATGAAAGTTGCTCTGGGTGAGTCAATGAGTGAGTGGTGAGTGGATGTGAAGGCCTAGGATATTACTGTACACTACTGTAGACTTATAAAGACTGTATACTTAGGCTACACTAAATTTATTTTTTTAATTAAATAATTGCACTATGGTATTATGACGACTACAATGTCACTAAGTGATAGGAATTTTTCAGCTTCATTATAATCTTACGGGACCACCTTTGTATATGTGTTCATATATGTGTTCTGTCATTGACTGAAATGTTAGGCAACACATGACTGTAACTGTTTTGTGCAAGCCAGTCTCCATTATAGGATTACCTGCTGAGGGGACCTGAATCTTGCATCTGTTGTTGGTCGGGATATTTCCCCTAGACTTAGTCATGCTTTCTATTTTCCACAAGTATAGCCATGTCAGGAAAGATATAATGCAGATGAGAGTTTATGGTTTCTTTACCTTAGCAATCCCAGTGTTCTCAAGCATATCATGGTCTCATGATGGGGAGTAGAGAAATGTGATGCTCATCAGTAAACGTTTATGAACTCTCCTAAAATTGGCTTTCTGCATATGGCTACTATGTTGTATTGGTTTTCACTGCAATTTTAGAGCATCATCTTATCCTGATCTCGCTTCCTCCAAATTGAGAATGTACTCTATTTGGAGTTTGCCTCAGCTACATAATCACTGAATAGATTAAAATATCTGTGGTATAAGAACTTTTCTGTTCTAGTGGAATAAAATGTAGGTTTCTTAGCTAGGAATTTATATTTGGTCAGTAAAGTGTAATGGTTAAGGTCACAGACAGCCTTGAGTTTGAATCCTGGCTCCACCACTTATCACTTTCCTTAGGCAAATTACTTAACCTGCCTAAACCTGGGCTTTCTCATCCTTGTAAAATGCCTAATTTTCAAGATGTTATTTGCCATTAAGATTATTTTCTGGGTATCTTATATTTTCATGGGCTACTTTTTATTCAGCTAAACATGAATTCAGCTCCAACTTTCATCAACTTTCCTGCAAAAGGGAAACCCAAACGGGGTGATACATATGAGTTGCAGGTGCGGGGTTTCTCAGCTGAGCAGATTGCCCGGTGGATCGCAGACAGAACTGATGTCAATGTAAGTTTCTCTACTTTGTGGAAAGTTACTTTGCCATTATCTCCTTTGAATCTTATTGGGAGGCCCTAATTTGTCTTATCCTCCTGTCACTGAGGTGATAATAGTTTGGCAGCTCCTTCATAAGTAGCATTTAACAGAATCATCCTGATGAATGAGTGAAAATTACAAAACACCCTCTATTACCCTATTGAATTTGGCATGGAAACCACTCTATGGACCTTCTTAAGTCCATGGGCTATCTAGCTGTACTTGGCAAATCCTTCTTAATCTGAAAGATGTTATGTTGTAAACAGAATATTGTACCTATTTCATCCCATTTTAGGATACAGTGTAGACTATTTTGATCAGGATGAAATGAAAAAAATATCATTTTTCCTGAAAGTAACCACACTGATTTTGATTGCTTTCATTTCAAATTATTTTGACCCATATAATTAGTAAATAAATTTTATACCTTAAAGTGTTTTTTTCTCCTTTCCATTAGATTAGAGTAATTAGACCCCCAAATTATGCTGGTCCCCTTATGTTGGGATTACTTTTGGCTGTTATTGGTGGACTTGTGTATCTTCGAAGGAGCAATATGGAATTTCTCTTCAATAAAACTGGATGGGCTTTTGCAGCTTTGGTGAGTGAATTTTAGAAGAAAAATTATTCAGATAAAACACCTAATAGTGCATTTTTAGGTAAGCTTTCATTTATATGAGTAGTATTTTGTTTATTTCTTCCCTAAGGGAAAGGATTTTATGTATTTTATTTTCTGCCTTAAAATCAGTTTGCTTCCTCCATCTCATTAAAATGTCCGGAACTTAAAGGAACTGATTTTACCCATTTTTTACTCAGCCTAATGATAGACTGTGATCTCTCTGCAAATGTATGGTTCTTTTGAGAATATTCTTCTAAAAAGCCTTTTCAGTGTTCAGTTTTGAAACTTTTTTGTTTTGTTTTTGTTTTTCATGGCTGGCCAGTATGGAGATCTGAACTCTCAGTTTTGAAACTTGTGTCAGCTTAGTTATAATTTTAAAATAGTGTTTTCCTTTTGAAGTAAGTATTATTGAATCATGATCCTTCTAGCGAAGTATAAACCTTAATAAGTAAATAAATTTATATGAAAAAAATTTCATGCATTACCTAAACAGATACACTTTTTCATATACCCAGTAATCTAATCAATGTGGGAGTAGCTGGACCATGAGTATTTCATTATTTTTTGTTTCCTAGTGTTTTGTGCTTGCTATGACATCTGGTCAAATGTGGAACCATATAAGAGGACCACCATATGCTCATAAGAATCCCCACACAGGACATGTGGTAAGGGAAGTCTGGGATTTCTTTCCATTGTATACCAAAGTTAACAATGATTATTACCCTTTGAGACCAGTGCCAGCACATGAAGGAACTAGATTTAGTTTTGACTTTTCAATTGTTCTCTGTTAACAAGATTCGATTGTTGATAAGACCATGTAGTGCTCTTAAAAGTGGGGAGTTCCTTATCCCATTTGGTGAGTCCTTTTGACTAAGCTGGCTAAGAATGAAAGTCAGCCTGCAACTAAATAGAATAATTGATCAAGAACTTGATCCTCTACCAACCATTTCTAGGTACTGTACTAGGCTTTTTTTTTTTCTTTTTGAGCAGTAGACCAGTACAGGAATTGAACCCTGGACCTTGGTGTTGTCAGCACCATGCTCTAAACCAATTGAGCTAACTGGCCAGACCTAGATGTTATTAGATATAGTGATAAACAAGAAAGATATGGTCCCTGTCTTCATGCAGTCTACATTATTGTACCTCATGGTCTTACACACTTAAATATTAGGTTTCTCATATATTCTGTCAGCACCACGCTCAGCCAGTGAGCGAACCGGCCATCCCTATATGGGATCCGAACCCGGGGCCTTGGTGTTATCAGCACCACACTCTCCTGAGCGAGCCACGGGCCGGCCCAGGTTTCTCATATATTCTGTCAGCACCACGCTCAGCCAGTGAGCGAACCGGCCATCCCTATATGGGATCCGAACCCGGGGCCTTGGTGTTATCAGCACCACACTCTCCTGAGCGAGCCACGGGCCGGCCCAGGTTTCTCATATATTCTGGTTGAAAACATAGTATAAGTGCAATGAAAAGACACAGAGAATAAATAATACAAAAATAGCTTTTATAGTAATCAAACATATTTATTGATGAATGCCACAGACCCAAAGTATGTTATATGCTTACATACATCAGGTGAATTAATAATTTCGTAGAGTTTTAAATAGCCCATTTTAGGGTTAGGATACCAAAATTTAATGTATATTTAAAGATTCCATTTTGTCTCTCCTCTGCTTCCCACCCTCCACCAGAATTATATCCATGGAAGCAGCCAAGCCCAGTTTGTAGCTGAAACACACATCGTTCTTCTGTTTAGTATCCTTTTTACAATAAGTCTTTGTTGCTCCATTTTAATTTGTCCATTTTTCACAGTCTAGTATTCTCTCTACAGCATTTGGTTGGAACTGCTCTCTTTATGCAGGTCATAATATACTTTGGAAATCATATTGCTGTGTCATTCATCTTAGCCCAGTCAGTTAGACGACCAGAGACAAAACCTGGAGTCTAGTAAAGCCAGGTTTATTGGTTTGTTGATGCAAGGAAGACTACACATCAGATGAACCATGGGACATCTTACCAAAGAAAAGATAGATTTGTTATAAGATTTGGGAGAAGGGTGGAGTTTAGGTGAAATTTAAATAAACCATTATTTTGATAGGCTAAAAGCAAAGCAAGGCTGAGTATAAAGGGATCTAGACTGTGAAGTGGACTCAGGGTTCTGTTTCCTTGGAAACTACAAAGTTGAGATAAATGTGGGATTTTGATTTGAAGCTCTGTACCTCGGTTGTAAATTGAGGCTACTTAGAAATTGTACTTGTAGGGCCGACCCCGTGGCTCACTCGGGAGAGTGCGGCGCTGGGAGAGTCTGGCGCTGGGAGCGCAGCGGAGCTCCCGCCGCGGGTTTGGATCCTATATGGGAATGGCCGGTGCGCTCACTGGCTGAGTGCAGTGCGGGCGACACCAAGCCAAGGATTGCAATCCCCTTACCAGTCACAGAAACAACAAAGGAAAAAAAAAAAAGAAATTGTACTTGTAAATTGAGTGACTTAAATCCTCCAGGTAAGAATAAAATGTTTTATTCTTACTGGTATCATTTTATACAGACTATGATTTTACAGAACAGTGCTCCTCAGTGAGTAAGAAAGCAATAGTTACTCAAAGACAGAGGTATTTTGACATTTTACAGCTTCAGCATGTACTAGGGAGAAATATTATTTCCTGTGAGCTTTGCAGCTGCCTTACATGTGAGTTGTTCCATCCTCTTAAATGGCAGAGCAGATTTTTACTTTCTCAGCCCAAGCTAATTTTTACTTTCTGACATCTGAAAATGTATGCCTCTGTAAGTTGCAAGGATAGGTAAGTGTAACATCAGATAGGTAAGAGTCTAAATTTATAGTATTACAGAACATAGTTTACTCACCTGAATATATGAGCAGTGACTCTATGGAACAAATCAACAAGGTGAACAAAGGTAATGTTCCTAGAGTTGTGCTTCTCAGCCAAGGTGTTTTGACATTGATATACATACTAGAATCAGTTGTAGACCAGGCTGTTGGAGAGCCTGCCCAGTTTACTACTTGGTGGTAAAGTCATTTGCCCTGCCTTCTCATCTCAACAACTAGTTGACTTATTTTTTTTTAGTAGGCATGAAGCCTGAAGACTCAAAAATAAGGTTTCCATGTTGTTAAGAATTAATAGAATGAGACCACTACTAAGTAGTAGTTATGATTTTGGAAAACAATCACATATTTATCATTAGTTTAATATTGTACAATTTATTTATTCATTCATTCATTCATTCATTCATTCATTCATTTTTTGTCCTTTTTGTGACCGGCCGCACCGCACTCAGCCAGTGAGCGCACCGGCCATCCCTATATAGGATCCGAACCTGCGGCGGGAGCGCCACTGCGCTCCCAGCGCAGCACTCTCCTGAGTGTGCCACGGGCTCAGCCCTATTCATTTATTTTTAAGATGACCAATAAGGGGATCTTAACCCTTGGCTTGATGTTGTCAGCACCACGCTCAGCCAGTGAGCAAACCAGCCACCCCTATATAGGGATCTGAACCCATGGCCTTAATGTTATTAGCACCACACTCTCCCAAGTGAGCCACGGGCCGGCCCTAATATTGTACAATTTAGTGCATGATTAATAAAGCAAACTGTATAATGAGTTGCCTGATCTACTAAGTAACTTTTAAAATTACGTTTTGAACTTTTTTATTTGAACTATTACATTCATGCAGAAAAATCCACATAAGTGTACAGTCTGCTGAATTTTTACAAAATGAACACAACTGTGTAACCAGCACCCAGATCAAGAAACAAAACTTTACCCACATCCCAAAGCATCCCCCTCTCATCACCCCTCCTGTTTGTTGTCTTCCTGCCCAAAGTTAACTGCTATCCTGGATTTTACCTTTTTGTTGTTGTTGTTTTTGACCGGTAAGGGGATCATAACCCCGGCCCGGTGTGGTCTGCACCATGCTCAACCAGTGAGCACACCGGCCATCCCTATATAGGACCCGAACCCGCGGCCTCGGTGCTACCAGTGCCGCTCTCTCCCGAGTGAGCCATGGGGCCGGCCCTATTTTTTAACTTTACATATTTTTTAAATTAAGTAGCAGTATGGAAAAATATCACCCATAGTCTAAAACACTAATATTAAAAAACATATTTATTTTTGCATATTCTCTTGCATTCTTTGCCCACGTGTATGTTTTATGGAGAGGGTGTTCCTTCTTTCATAGTTACAGACATACTTTGCATGGATTTTGGTGTCTTAATATAAGCATTTTCTATATTGTTGTATGGCCTTCATAGTTACAAAAATACATGAGGATTACAGAGAAATCTGAAAATACAGACAAGGAGAAAGAACAATAGTCATTATTCTTAATGTTTATAATAATGGATATAATTCAGTTATTTTCCTATTATTGAATATTACAAAGAATGTTTTCTAGGAGATAAAAAATAATTTGGCATATCTCCAAATTCCCAGAACTAAGATTCCAAACAAAGTGTACGAAGCTGTTGCTCTTGATGTGATGTCTAAATTGCTTTCCAAAAGGGTTTTGCTGCCAGAAATATATATGTGCACTGGTATCCCTGGCAAGTCCTAACCATCATCATGTATTCTCATTTTTTTAAACTGCTAATTCAACAGGCAAAGATATTATACATCACTGTTTAAATCTACCTTGGACAATTATAATCAAAGTAATTTAAACATTTTTCAATGGTTTTGTAATTTATGCTTTATTTTATGCAAATGTATTTGCCTTTGTCATATATAATGTACTTTAATTCTGCGAGCTCTTGTAATAGCCTAGTTCTTGTACGTTGTGGAATACCACCTCCTCTATTTTCTGTTCAGTTCTCCCAGAGTAACATTTACTCCTAATTATGTAATTATATATTTATTTTATTGTTTGTATCCCCAACTAGAGTGTAACTCATCCGTCCGTGGAAGGGTCTAATATTTCGTTCAAGTTTGTAACTCCAACAATTAGTGGTGCCTGGCATATAGTAGGCAGTGTTAGTAAAAATTCAAAGAATCAAAAATGAAATGAAACAATACATGTAGAAGTGCATGATAGCTCTTGACAGCTGAGAATAGCACACAGAGACCTTGGGGTATATATCAAAATGGAAAGCTCTTTCAAAGCAAAAGCGTATAGGCCATGATACAAAGACAAACAGTCCCCAAAACAAAAGTCTCAACCATTAATCAGAGGGTACCCAGGAACCAAGGCCTATAGAAATGTTCAACTTTGTACAAATCTGGATATAAAGAAGCTAAGTAAGAATTTAAAAATTGCTGGAAAAGAGACTTGGCTGAGCAACTAAAAACATGATGAATGGGCATCATCCCTAACAAGAGGCTATTGAAGAGAGAGTGCAAGATGCTAATGAAGGGATGAATAGTCAAATTATAGAGGCGATTATAAATTCAGACCTCATCTGAACACCTATTTTTCCTTTTCTGCTTAATTATATCCACATGCAGTAGTATACAATGTGCATGTGTGTATGCATAATTAATTTGGGAATTTTTTACTACTGTTAGTATTCACTGAACTGCAGAATGAATCTCTTTTTTCTACTAGAATTCATTCTATTTGCTTTAAAATTCAACTTTTCTTATTTTAACATTCAACCATGCCATGGATAACCTGTTTATAAGGGTAGTTCCATTTTATGTTTGTTTAGCTCCTGTTATTAAGCTGAATAAAAGCAAGGTCACAGCACATGTGGTATTATCCTTTTTTATTAGAATAGGATAAAATTAGGTAGCTTAATAATATGTAACTTGTGTTTTAAAGGTTAATTGTTGAATTTCTGGAAACATTTTTGAGAAATTATTTTTCAAATAAAAATTAGTTACTATTCTGTATAAATGGTACATATTTCAAGTGTGTTCTTTTAGAAGTGTTGAAATATTAATCAGAATGGCTATTTAATATTTTTAAATGTTTATGGGTCCACGGCAATAGCTGAATGCCTGGGCAGGTTATTTCAAAGTTCAATTTCAGGAAAACTCATATTTCATCTATAAGTAAAAGTTGTTTTAAATATTAATTTTCTTTGCACAAATGAAGTAATCTTCCAACCTTAATTTTTTTATTATATCTTCATAGTAAACAATTTTTATACTGTATAGATACAAGATTACTTATTTAATTTTTTTGTAATTAAGAATTCAAGGTTTATATATTTATTCATTTTAATTTTCTTCATGAGAAACTAGGACTAGTAAAGTAGTATGCCTTTTGTATCTATGTGAATTTCTCCTTAAACAATTTTTCTTAGATGGCGGGGTTACTTTAGGGATGGTGCTTTTATGTGAAGCTGCTACTTCTGACATGGATATTGGAAAGCGAAAGAGTAAGTCCCGTCATATGCCAAAATGTAACAGTTTTGCTTTTAGTACAGAAAAAAGAATGATCTCTTAATCACTTTTTTCCCCTTAGTTATAAGATGTTATTTTATTCCTTTACTATTATGAAGGTAATACATGCTTATTATAGAAAATGTGGAAAACAGGAGTGTGAAACATTTGGGGGGAGATTCACCCATTATTCTACTGCTGAAATCTAATAATTTTAACACTATTTTCTTCCATTTGTAAAGACATTATTTAAATTGTGTGTATAAAATTTTGAATCTTATACCCCCTTTTAAAACTGGAGTTAAATAATTAACTAATAAATATTTTCCTATACATAATTTTAAATTTGTACTCTACACTGTAATTTAACTGTTCTGATTTTCTTAAACGTTTCGTTTTTTTCTGACCTTCATTTTAATAAATACTTCTTTAGTGATTGTCATGATACGTTAAACTACATCCTTTTGTCATATTACAGTTGACCCTTGAGCAACACAGGGGGTTCACTTAATATGTGGATTTTTTTTCAATAAATACTGTACAGTACTGTAAATGTATTTTCTTAACATTTTCTTTTCTCTATTTTTATTATAAGAATACAGTATGTAATGCATATATAAAATATGTGTTAATCAACTATGTTATTGGTAAGGCTTCCAGTCAACAGTAGGCTATTGTTGTTAAGTTTGGGGAGAGTCAGAAGTTATTTGAGGATTTTTGACTATGCAGTGGGTCGTCAGCCCTCTGCCCCATGTTGTTCAAGGGTCAACTGTATTTCCTTAAGGTAGATTTCTAGAAGTAGAATAACTGTGTGGCCCTGAGTCTGAGTATTTTCACTTCTTTTGATGTTTCAAACTGATAATGCCAAATTCTTCCCCCAAAAGTTTTAATAATTTAGATTCCTCATACAGGAAAAGTTGAAAGAATTTTATACCAAGCATCTATAAACTTTAACTATTTAGATTCTATTACCATTTTATATTACTTGCTTTACCACATATCTATCTATGTAACTTTCCCACTATCTCTCCATCTTATAATTTTTTTTTTTTTTTGTCTTTTTTCCGTGTCCGGCAACGGATCGCAACCCTCAGTGTCGCCCCCGTACCGGACCGGGACCGGCAACGGGATCGCAACCCTCGGCGTTGCCCCCGCGCCTCGCTCAGCCAGTGAGCGGGAACCGGTCTGTATGTGGGATCCGAACCCTCGGCGGGAGCGCAGCCGCGCTTCCCAAGCGGCGCACTAGCGCAGTGCGCCACCGGGCCGGCCCCTTGCACTATAATCTTATCAGCGTTAGAGAACCTCATTTAAAAAAATATATGTGTATATATAAGGAATATCCAAAAAGTTCATGGACAGATTCATACCATCTTTTAATTCTATTTTTCCATGAACTTTTTGAAGTATCCTCACATTTGCTAATCAGATAAGGGGATACTTTAAAAACTTTGTGGAAGAATAGAATTTTAAAATGTTATGAATCTTTCCATGAACTTTTTGAAGTACCTTTGTATTTTCTACTTCTTTGATTATTATGAGGTTGAATGTTTTTCTAAATGTTCATTAGTCATTTGTGTTTATTTGTGTTTTCCCTTTTGTAAATTGTCTTTTTGCCATTTATTAGAGTCTTAGTCCTTTTCCTATTGGTTTGCATGGATATTTTATATATTAGAATACTCACACATTGTTATTTGTTGCAGAGAGAGGCTAACAATGTACTTTGATTTTATTTACGTGAAAATAAGTATGTCAGGGTTCTCCTTTTATGGTTAAAGAGTTAAATATTGTCAAAATGAACCTACCTAAATAAAGTCTAATATTTTTGTCTTCTAGACAAAAAACTTCAAAAAAAAAAAAAAAACAACCAAAACTTTTGTCTTCTAGAAAAAAGATGAAGACATTGGATTTCAAATTTGGGAACTATTTGTTTTGCTGAATTAAAATGAATTTTTATATGTTAGAAAAAATAACATGTATCCACTTTTTATCCAGTTGATATACATTCTTTCACTACCTGACTTTAAAAAAAAAAAATTCCCATTCCAGTCTTCATTATTAGGAAAAGGCCATCTAAGTACACTGCTTGTATGAATTTAAATTGTAAAACATTTTGATGACATATATTAAAACTCACAATTTGATTTACTTCTAAGATTCTAACCTAATGAAATGATCACTAATAAAAATAATAAACATTTCTTTAGCATGTACCAGGAGCTACTCTTAAGTACGTTTAGATATGTGAAAAAAAAGAGTAGAATACAAACATACAGAGTGGTGCTGTGTATGTACACATATACGTACATTTTCTTAGGGAAAAAAAAGACTAACTTTTCTACACTGAGCATGTGTTAATACTCAGGAAAATATTGTGTAAAATTTGCATTTTAGCCCCTAATCATATTGCCTAAAAATTAGAAAAGGAAAAAGAGTTGTTTAAGTATAACAAAACTAAAAGTTGTTTTTAATATCCATCACTAAGTATGTTTCACTAGAGCTCCTATTGCTGTCGCACACGTTTTCCCACATCCCTGTCCCTGTGCTTCTTAGCTAGTCTTAGTCCAGGGACTCAGAGCCTCAAGTCATGGGAATTCAGACTTAAGCATTGTGCGGTCAATTTCTGGAGTTCAGGTCAGTATCTGCTATGCGAAACCAGAGCATGTGGAATTAGTGGAGAGAGCCATGAATTTAGGGCTAGGAATCAGGTTTCTTCCTCATTATTCAAATGAGAATCCATGTTGAATGAGTTCTTCATACAAGGCTGTGTAATTACCTATGCATGAATAAAGTACTTTCAAGTGAGGCTATCACAATGATGTTATCAGATGTCTTTAAGTTAATATTTACCAATATACAAGAAGGCCACTTTTAAGGGTTTAAAAGAAGTTTAATAAATGAGTGGGTGATTTTCTTGTTACTAAGACAATGTTTCTAACACTAAATTCTTAAATGTGATGGCATTACAGGAATTCATTATTTCATACAATTGAATTGCATGAGTATGTAACTCTAGTCACTCTATTATATTGTAATAGAGCAAGTTAAAGGGAAGGCAGACTCCTAACAATTAAAAAAATGGGGATGAAAATTGTTGGAAAGTTGAGATTTATCAATAAATTATAGCTCTTCATTTTTACTCTTTGGGAATGTAGACTAAGATTTATGCCCTGGTTATTTAGTATGCTCAACATTCTCATTTTACTCTTCTTTTGTTTTTTCTTTAGTAATGTGTGTGGCTGGTATTGGACTTGTTGTATTATTCTTCAGTTGGATGCTCTCTATTTTCAGATCTAAATATCATGGATATCCATATAGGTATGATTCTTACTTTTGATTTATGTAGTGATTACCTATACTTACAATGATTAAAGTTGATGTTGCTTTATAATATTTTCTTTTCTTGCTTTGCTTTCAAACTGTTCTAGCATCTAAAGGAGATAGGCTTTATTTAGATATGTTAAATATAAAAATTAATTTAAGATAATTATGGTATAATGGACAGTATTTGTATGTGATTTCTCAGGAACATCTTTCAGGGTTATTCTGACATCACCTAACTTAATCTAGAAATCTGTAATAACACGTAATGATTAGAATATTTACACCATGTATTGGTCCATCTTGTGTTGCTATAACAGAATACCTGAGGCTGGGTAATTTATAAAGAACAGAGGTTTATTTGGCTTACAGCTGCATCTGGCTAGGGCCTTAGGCTGCTTCTACTCATGGTGGGAAGTGGCAGGCAGCCAGCGAATACAAATGGAGTACAAGAGGAAAAGAGAGAGAGTCTGTTAGACAACCAGCTATGGCAGGAACTAATAGGGTGAGAACTCACTACCCCCAGCCCCCTGGGAGAGCATTAATCCATTCATGAGGGATCCACCCCCATGACTCAAACAGATTCCAAAACTGCCACATTGGGGATTAGATTTCCACATGAGTTCTGGGACAACAATAATCCAAATTCCATCACACCGTATCTATTTACACAGTTCCTTGTCTGCATACTATACTTCCTCTTGAGGAAAAACTGATTTTTTAATGATTTTTAAAACTTTTCACCTCCACTTTTCAAGGTTGTTTAGATGGTATAAACAGAACATTTGATTAGAATCCACTTTGCAGAGAGTATAAGAAAAGAGTGTTTAAGGTCTGATCAGCTTGAAATGTTCATAGAGATCCCCAAGGTTCACAGAGGAAATTGTTCTCCTGGTGTAGGTTCTTGATTTCACTCTGTTAGTAGACGAGAGAAATGTACCTACACTATGGAGGATGTTCTAAGTTAGTTTTATAATCTGAGTGTCAGTTAATATAATTCCTATTCGTTAATACAACATTGTCCCTTTCGTATAAAGGATTATGAACACTAAAGGTAAAATATATCAACTGGTATTTTTGAGAGACAGATTTATTCTTCATGTTATTTTTAAAGCAAGATTTTAGTAGATAATTTTGAACAGCTTCCTAGTTGATTCATTATATTGTGGCATTGCTAAATGCCTTTTGATCAGTGAACAATATAAATAAATCTTCTTTTGCATTTTTCTTTTTTCTTGTGAACTTTTTAAGACAGAAATCTCCTAGAACCTTTATTCTTGATTTATAATCTTCCAACTTTATACTTTTATTCTTCTGTATATCTGTTTTTTAAGATAATTTCTCCTCTATAGAATACTAACTGGGATGCAGGGGTAATTTTTCTGGGACTTCTGTTAATTATTTGATCACCAGGATTGATTCAATTATTAATTAGTGTCTCTATATTAAGGAGATATTTTAATTTGTGATTATGTCTATTTATTTTTATCATAAGACTACCTGGTCTCTCAGTGTTTCTCACTTTTTGTTATTGAAACTCCAAGATTATCATACATGTACCAAAATGCTCTTTGATCTGTTAGTCAAGATCCTACACATTTATTAGAAGTGAAGTGTACTTTTCTTTCAGAGACTAATAGATTGGTATATATTTTTGTTTCAGCTTTCTGATGAGTTAAAAAGGATCCCAGAGATATGTAGACACTGGAATAATGGAAATTGAAAAGCAAAAAACATGTATTTGAAAAGAAAAATTCAACTTGTGTATTTTGTATTACCTCTTTTTTTCATGTGATTTAAATAGTTAGTCATTTAACCAAAGAAGATGTGTAGTGCCTTAACAAGCAATTGCCTGTCAGAATCATGAAGTATTTGGAAATGACTTACCTCTTAACCTTCCTTTCCCAGTGAACTTTATGGAACATTTAATTTAATAGAATTAAGTATATTATAAAAATTTTTAAACTACTACTTTGTTTTAATTAGAACAAAACTCAAAATTGCTTCAGTTAACTTTTGGTCATCTGATTTCATATTGTTTTATCCAAAGATGGAGAAAGAAAGTCCTGACCAGGTGTTCGCACATATGCCTATTACAGATACCTTCATCAGGAATTCATTCTTACCTTTTCCATCTTTGCATGGATGTGTATACTTTACACATCTTTCCTTTTGGGCAGAGGGATCATGTGTACTATGTGGTCTTCTGAATATGGAATACAATTTTTCAGAGTATACGTCTAGCCTTTAGAAAGACTAGTCAGTCTTTTTCCTCCTGCATCTTTTCTACTGAAATATAGTGCTATCTATGCTTCTTGATAACTATAGACATTAAAAAGTATCTCTAAATACAGGATTATGATTTCTGCATGAGTATGGTGTTAACTACCTTGTATTTGGAAAGATTGCAGATTCATTTTATCTCCTTAGTTTTCTTTTATTTAGGATGGCTCATCTCTAATAAAAATATGGCTTAATGCTAAAATCAGTGTAACTTATAAATGGTCTAAAATGTTTCTGCAAATTAGAGATTGTCCCTTATTTCTTTTGTACCTAAGAGAAAAATAGGCTCAGTTGTGTTTAGGAAAAGGACTTCCTTAGAATGAGAAAAGAAAATCATGAAATATTGAATTGTTGCTGATGTACAGAAATTGTTTCTTAAAAGCTGTTCTGTTTTAAAAGCTGTTATTTTAGCCTTTATTCTCTCCCTTTAAGTGGAGAAACAAGTAAAAATTTGAAACGGTCTTGTTTGAATTATTTTTTTCTATCAGAAATAACCATATGTGCTAACCAAATTTCTGTGAAGAATGTTTTCATGGTTATCACTACATCTAACTATAAGCTCCCCCATAGTTATGAGGAGTAACCTGAAATGCCACTATTACGGAAGTACAAGAATTATAATTATATCAAAAAAAATTTTTTTTTCTTTCTTTTAAAAAAATTTTTTTGCTTGTTTTATTTATTTTTTATTTGAAAAAAAAATTAAAGAAATCTTAGAAGTACTACATTAAAAAGATACTGTGACTGCCTCCTGCTGTTTACCACCTAATACCCCTCCCATGTGGTATAGGGAAGTCTTACAGGTTTGAGGGAGATGGATGCAGTTGCCTCAGAAGAAATGTTTTATGTGGGTTTTTGTTTTTATTTTTTGTTAGTAGATTTGGTGGGGGATGGGATATAGCTGACCTTTTTTAACTCTTTAATGGAGCCACTTTTTGTTAATTACTCCCCTGTAAATTGTGTGATTCTAGATTCCTTATCTGCTGTTCTTGTACTTGTCTCAGGCCAAATAAATTTATGCTGTGGTTTTTACAAGACTTGTATGAAAACGCCCTGATATGTACAGTTTGACCAGGGGACTACTACTGCCATGTAATCTGTATAGATCCAGATAATTTGCCATGAGCATTCAAAGAATGACAGTTTTTTGTATTGTCTTGTCTCCCTTTAAGAGCACATTCATCTTCTGTAAGGAGAAAGGTAGCATTCTGGCTAAAATGTGTGGAAAGCAGAATTACTACACTTAAAATGCTGTTACTTTAGGGGAAATTTTGCAATTAGCTTTTTATCTGAAGTGCCTTAAGTAGACTCTTAATTTACTTTTCTAGTAACGGTTTAAATATCCTTTGTTATGCATTTTTAACACACCATTCAAAACGACGCATTATAGTGGCAAAGATAACCAAATGTCTGGCTGTTTGCTTTTTGACCATATCAATAAATTTTTATAATCTAAATTCTGAGTTTTTGATTACTGTCTAAAGAAGGGTGAATTTAAAACACTAAACGAACTGTAAAATTAGGATATTCCATTTTGAAGTTATAATTAAATTTCTTATGGTCCTAATAACAGTTTGATAGAACAAATTCCCTTAAGTATTTCTATGCTGAGATACATTTTTTTCAGGAATTCATATGTGGTATTTCATTAATGTTGTCACCCATTAGATTAGTCAAAACAGCATAAGTAGATGAATGGCTGTTGTCAATGATTGATTTACACCTTTTGTCCTAATCAATGGACGGACACTCCTTGACTGGGTAATTCCCTTTTGGTAATAAAAAATTGATTTTAAACAGTTACCCTTGGAGATTATCAAGTTATATAAGACTGGACAACAGTACATTTGTGAATATGGAGTAGAAACATTGGACAGGAAGTAAAGAGATCTGGTTTTTAGTCCTTTCTCTATTTCTGTCTAGCTATGTGACCATAGGCAAGTCACTTGAACCTCTCTGGACCTATTTATTTATCCTAAGAATGTGTTAGGGTAAACCACTTCAGTGTTTTTCCTGCTGTATTGTTCTGTTATGCAAAATATTAAAGTTGTATTTAAATTTTGAATAGATATCATTTGTGATATCCAGATTTGGTGTTGAATTAAATCAATTGAAATGTAGGGTGTTCTGTAGTCAGATTTCTGAAGAACCTGTGAAATGCTAGTGGAGGCCATTATAACTACAAAATTTAATAATATGCATTGAAACATTACCAGTATTTAATATCAGAACTTGAGTTAAATGGGTTCAACCCAATTTTGAGCAAGGGTGAGATCAACAACTGTAATAGTATGCTGATATTATAGAAAGTCAATGCTAAAGGGACCTTAGATACCCTTTAAATCAACCCGTTCATTTTGATTGATTTGGCTGAAGAAAATCTGCCCTAGAGGAGTAAAGCAATTTACTAAAGGTTATTTTCCAAAGAAAGGCCTACAAGTTTCTTGTTTTGCCACAAATTCCCTATGGATTACATTTCTTTTTTTTTAGATTGAAATTTAACTTTATTTTTTATTTATTTTTTTTATTTATTTATTTTATTTTGTCAATATACACTGTATATGATTATTATGGCCCGTCACCGACACCTCCCTCCCTCCTCCCTCTCTCCCCTCCCCCCCAAGAATGTCCTTTGTGTTTGCTTGTTGTAACAACTTCATGGAAGTATAGTTGTTATATCTTCTTCCCC